CCGGGGCAAATCGGTGAGAAAATTTCGATAAGTATGCGCGCGCGTTATTGTGACGTGCGCTCTAATGGTTAGAATCGGTAATAATACCCTTCGACCGAAGAGGTCGAGGGGTCGATTGGGATAAGTGTTATGTCGGGTAAACTTACAACCTACACCGTGATGGAGGCTTAAGCATCCGTATGATAGTCAAGTTAAAATTAATGTATGCCCCGACTGTACGCGCGGAACAATTAACAATGAGTGATCGTCAGGTTGAGGTAGCACCCTGAAATGCTAAGAGCTTGGCTCAAGTGGTCTACCACGAGTAGGACTGAGGGTCTCGCCCGAGTTCCCGCATATGGCGAAGCGTTTGCATCTTGAACGATGACTTCCTGACTGTGCCTTTACTAGGTATGGTACCAGCCTACCTGCTACTTGAGTGTTTTCCCGTTATTCTGAGTATGCGGGTTTACCCGCTGCCTTATAACCTTTCTGCCGCGACCCTTGATTTCACGGCAACAGGTAAGTACCGGTCTTGGGCCTACCGGTCAGCCAGGTACCCTTGCGGGCCACACACATACCCAAGCTGACAGGCATGCAGACCGACATGCGTACGCACACACAGACTTGAAAAAAAAAAAAAACAGACTCAGGCCACTAAGTGGGCCGAGCCCTCAATCCTCTATATGTACCTGAGCGGCTCCTTTCCTAACCAGAATAGGAGCTAGCTCAGTTGGTTTAGGTATTAATTGACAAGTGCGAGACATAGGGATCGAGGCCTACAGCTGCCTAACTCCTTTTGAAAAGGGAGCTCTGCTTTTTTTTTACCCGGTCTGAGACAACCGGGATTTGAACCCGCGACCTTACAGTTAGAAGTAGTTAGAGATAGTCAGTCAGTTAGGACTGAGTCCCGTTTGAAACGTGGCCCGACACTTGGCAGGTGAGGGAAGTTAGGCTGTTAGATTCTGCTCTTCTTTTATTTATTTATTTCTTAGTTCTTATTTTTCATATTTCATATTTTCCTATCTCTTATTTTCTTATTTTTTTATTTTTCACCATTCCCGTATCTAGGGCCTACGACTTCACTTTAATAAATCTGCCGCAGGATCCAGGGCAGATTCATTACAACAGAAATTAAGACCATTTCGTTGGTCTACGAGTTCGGGCTAAGTCCAACGGGCAAGCGCAGCAAGTGCGTAGCGGCCCCGGACGAAGCACGTAGAAAGGAGCGAGAAGGAGTACTTCGGGGAAAAGCGAGAGGAGAAAAAGCGCGGAGAGATGAAGAAAAGAAGAAGAAGAAGAAGAAGATGGAGAGAAGGGGAAGAAGGAGAGAGGAGGTGGCAAGCAGGAAGCAGGCGAGTTAGCTCGTGGGGAAGTTCGGAAAGAAGATGACCACGCGATAGAAGGAGGGCGCGCGGGGCGGCAGCGCAAGCGGGGAGCGAAGAGGAGAACATCGGAGGAGACGAGGGAGAAAGGGGGAGTCGCGCAAAGGTGGTAGCGCACACGAGCAGAAGAAACGGATAGCCGCTCGAGTAGAAGAAGAAAAAGAGGAAGGAGGAGAGAGACGGGGAAAAGGGAAGTTTACCTTTCACTCGCCCGGCTCGTTGGAGGCGCGTTTGTGTCGGTCGTGATCTGCATACCGAGATCATGGTATGTTGCACATCGTAACAAACCATATTGCGTTGGCTGCAAGCTACACTGGCTGACGACTGGCGACGACGACGGCGGCTCCGAAGACGACAGTGACGACGACGACGTTGGAGAGGAAAGAGCAAGTAAGTCGTCAATCACTCGACTTACTTCCACCAATAGGATAAATAGATAAATAAATAAATAAGTAAATAAATAAATAAAATAAAATCTAATGAATCTACTGCTAGAACCTGGACACATTCACCAGCATACAAGTGTGTGTGTGTGTGTGTGAGAGAGAGAGGGAGAGAGAGGGGGAGAGAGAGTTCTTCGATCGATTCGTTGAGCACGTACCTGGACGATGGGGGAGTCTCCAAGGTCGCGGCTGGCCTCGCGCGCGGCTCCCCTCGAAAGGATGAGCAAAATCGATCGGGTCTCCCTCTGCGACGTCGAAAGGTCCACTACTACACTCTGTGTGTGTGTGTGTGTGTGTGTGTGTGTGTGTGTGTGTGTGTGTGTGTGGGTGTGTGTGTGTGTGTGAGTGTGTGAAAGTGAGAGAGAGAGAAAACAGTAGGCTTACTCGGTAGTTGATGATCATCATCGTGGCAGACAGGCAACATCCCCGATGCGTGATGCACCCTCGGAAACGAATGAACTCGACCTCGAAGATATATGATGTTTGTGGATTGCTAAAGTTCGTTGTTGCTCGTCCTCCTTGCACAAGACAGTTAGACAGACAAAATACAAACTTGCAACAGACAGACAGACATACGAAAAGACAGACAGATGGACTGTGACACACGGTCACACAGTGACATACGCAGTCACACACACAGTCATACTGTGACATACTCACAAACACAGCAAAACGCTCGTTTCACACTAATGGATACATAGTCACATGGTGCATTGCGACGCACAGGTATGGTGTGACGCACACACAGAATACCGTGACAGTCACACGCACAGGGGTCACAATGACGCACAGATACTGTGACGGTCACGAACAGACAATGCATTGTGACAACAAACACACGGGCGCTGTGACACACAGATACACAGTCACGCAGGTACACAAACAGCAACACAGTGAAAACACACAGTGAAACACAGTGCATAGTGTGAAATGCACAGTGAAACACACAGGTGCAGAGTGACACAGAGACTGTGACATACACAGTCACGGTGACACACACACGCAACAGAAATACACAGTCACTCAGTGACACATACACAGTGACACAGTCGCACACACACAGACAATGGTACAGACTCAGTCACACTGTGCCATGCACACACACACCCTTCTCACTAAACTACAGCTATGGCTGCCTCTATCCTATTGCTATGCTACGCCCTTCTCTCTCGCCACTTCGTCCAGTTGGGCATGCAGCGGACCTCCATGCACGAGTTGTTGTGGCAGCACTTCAGCATGGTTTACGTAGGAAGGAATGAAAGGTTGAGCGCTACATCTTGATTTATACTTCTGAAGTTCGTTGGTCTGCCCTGATCCGTCGGTCATAGAGCACGCGGTCCCTCATGGTGCTTACTGGGCTAAATTGACCGCGTCACTGACTGCGTTGGGCTGCACTGTTGACTGCATAGGCGACATTTTCAAGTACTATGGGCCGCCGCTAATGTCAGCAGTTGCATTGTCGAGTCGTGGACTGTAATAGATGAATAGGGATAAGTTGGGTGTTGGACGCCGAGTAGGAGAATTGAGAGGCTGTACCCATATGTTGGCATGAAAGGAGAGGGTTTTCCTAGACGCTGGGTTTCAGCACTACGACCCTCTGTTGAGGTATTATTGGTGTCATATACCTGCCTTATCATTAACCAATCTAATATTCTTTTCAGTGGTAAGAGTAGCAAGGATCCTTGGACATCCGCCTTATTGAAGGCTAGTCAGTGATAAAAGTAGCAGGCGAAGCCTGCCTTATCAGTGACTAGTCTGACATAAGAGTAGCGAGGTTTCAAGGACACCTGCCTTATCATTGACCAATCTAACATTCTTTCAATGGTAAGAGTAGCAAGGATCCTTGGACGCCCGCCTTATTGAGGGCTAGCCAGTGATAAGAGTAGCAGGGAAAGCCTGCCTTATCAGTGACTAGTGTGATGTAAGAGTAGCGAGGTTTCAAGGACACCTGCCTTATCAGTAAACNAGAGAGAGAGAGAGAGAGAGAGAGAGAGAGAGAGAGAGAGAGAGAGAGAACATCCCTGTTTCTGAATCTGGCTCAGAACTGCTTCCAGATTCAGACAAAATCATCCAGAACAGTGACTAGGCCTATTCTGCCAAAGTGGGTAGGCTGGGCATGAGGCGGTAGGCTTGGGTCCACGCCATTTCATATTTGAATTTCAAGGACCTGCGGCCCCCATGCCGTTTCAAAATATTTTAGACCACGGCCACCTACCGGTTCCCAGGAAAATGCCACGGGCAAATACCGGTCCTGCATTTGCTTGAACTGCCCCCCCCCCCCTAAATGCCAGTGCCTTTCATTTTACCAGCCTTTGAACGACCAATGGGCCCGAATGAACGACCGGTATAACGAACGACGACGAAAATGTCTCCGGGGGGAAAAACACAACCCTGACGGGCTGCGAATACCTGTACATTTTCTATTCGAGGAAACTGTGGTATTCGAGAAAAGTGCACCCGCACCGTTTCAATTTCGAAAAAGACTTCAGGACCGCGGCCTCCTCAGCCTCCTCCGCGCAGCTACCGGTCCTACGCGGTCCTGGCCCTTGCAAGGCCCCAAAACCTCAAAATGCCCACCCTCCCGATGACCACGACGTTGAAGTGACGTTGAACGTTGAAATGTCTCAGGGGGGGAAAACGCATCCCTGACGGGCTGCGAACAGCGCCAGTCTTGCAATATCAGATTATCAGATTGCTGGCTCTGCACCACCGAGCCGCCTCCCCCGACAGCCCCCACCCCGCCGTGTAGCTACCGGTAGCCAACCTGCTTTTGACATCCTGGCTATCTACACGGCCTCCTCACAGCCCCCAACGTTCCAAAAACGCCCTTTGGCCATCTGCCGTCTGCTCCTTGGCCGCTTGACTGTTTTCTTTCGCCTGTCCGCTCCCGTCCGTGGCCGCTGGACGGTTTTTGCCTTGCCTGTCGCACAGGCCGCACAACTACACTTCACAGCGCATGTGTGGCGAGGTAACGGGACCGCGGAGGAGCGTGCGACACTTCGGGGTCTGCCCACTCACATTGGATTTACCGTGAACTTATCTACCGCATTATCGCTATTCTACCGGCAGTCAAGATTTTCCCTCACACTGGGATTACAGCGAATGTCTCTATAGCGCCATTCGAGTCCAGATTCGGCCGGTCGGGAAAGTCTCGCCCAAGATCAAGCTGGGCCGGGCGAACCGTACGCTGCGTCCGGACGTCGCTAAACACGGCACTCGGGATACCCTTGCCTGTCCTTGTCTGCCCTTGTCTGCCCTTGCCTGCCCTTCCCTGCACTGTCCGTACTGGCCGCTTCTCGAGGTCACACGCAGGGCAGCAGCACATCGGAAGGATCGTGCAGTAGCAAGCTCGGACTGGCAAAGGTGAGACCTTACCCATTCTCCTTCCTTGTCCTCCTCTCCCTTTTCTCCTGTCTATTCATTCTCTCGCTGCTCCTCCGGTTCTCCTCTTTTTGTTTTCTCCTCTACTCTTCTCTTTCTCCTCCTTCCTTCCTCCCACTTGTTTCTTGTCTTTCTTGTCTTCCTTTCTCCTGCTCCCCCACTACTTCCCCTACATCCCTTACTTCCCAGTCCTCCCCCATGTCTTCATGATACGGCCACGACCTTGAGGTACAACTTCGCTGCTGCTTCTCTTCCCAAAAGCTTTATTCTCTCTCTCTCTCTCTCTCTCTCTCTCTCTCTCCCGGCCCCTTTCTTCACCTCCTCCTGTCCTTCTACCCACGTTTGGAGAAATTTCTTCTTCTTCATTCGCTTCTTCTTGGTCTTGGTCGTGGTCTTCCTCCTCCTCCTCCTCCTCCTCCTCCTCTTCCTCTTCCTCCTCCTCCTCTTCCTCCAGCACACGGGGAAATCGAAGCGATAGAGAGGATTGGCAGTGCACAGTGATGACATAAAGTCAAATGATGGCTCATCAAATTTTGACCCCTGATTCCCTGACTCGCGAGCTTGAGTTATGACATGAACAAAAGACCAAGCCCAATCAAGGAGCGCACGCCGATGATGATGATGATGATGATGATGATGACCACCCAGCAAGTATAGCCCGCTGATGATGCTAATGGTGACGATACTGAGGGCGATGATGACGATGATGACGATGATGATGATGATGATGATGAATGATGATGATGATAAGGAGGAGGAGGAGGAAGTCATACACATCGAAGGGTCATGATGATGGGCGATGCAGATGATTGGCGAATGATAATGTGTTAAGTTCCACAGACCAACGGACACCTAAGACAAGTATGCCGCTAACCTTTGGAGGCTTTGTCTTGGCCTACTTTCGCAATTTATCAGGATACCTCCGAGGATATGTCTCAGGTGAGTCAGGTCCTTGTAGGTAACCATTGACTAATCAACGTCATCTTGGTTATCTACCTACTCATTCATAAGTTTTCATAAGCACCTGATATGAGCCTTATTTGTTGACGTGTTCGAAGCGGCCCCTGATGGCAGCATCGACGGCGTCTGATTGCACCATCGACGGCCTCTGATGGCACCATCGACGGCCTGTGTGGTCGGTCGGGCGTAAGTGGCAGCATCGACGGCCTCTGATGGCAGCATCGACGGCGTCTGATGGCAGCATCGACGGCAGCATCGACGGCGTCTGATGGCAGCATCGACGGCCTCTGATGGCAGCATCGACGGCCTGCGTGGTCGGTCGGGCGTAAGTGTGACCACTGGGTACACGGGTACGCGGAGAAATCAGTGCTGGGGTCTGGTTAAGTACTCAGCTTGGGTGTCCCGTTAAGTGCGCGTCTTGGGGCTTAACTGGGTTAAGTACTCATCTTGGGTGTCTCGTTAAGTACACATCTTGGGGCTTAACTGGGTTAAGTACTCATCTTGGGTGTCCCGTTAAGTACGCGGTTAAGTACCATTGTGACTGGGTACACCGTGGCACGGAGAAATCAGTGCTGGGGTCTGGTTAATTACTCATCTTGGGTGTCCCGTTAAGTACGCGTCTTGGGGGGGCTTAGCTTTCATCCCAGTTGGTTTAGCAGTTTGGTTGAGCGTCTACGTCCCATGCGGGAGGTCGCGTGTTCAATTCTCGGCGTGGATTCGAGGATGCATTCAATTCTTCCCTGCGTAGCAACCAGCAGTGAGATCGTAGATTCTTGTGCCTTCCTCGACGGCCTGTGTGGCTAGGTGTGAGTGTGACTGTATGCACCTGGACGGTCTGTGTGGTCAGGTGTGAGTGTGACTGTATGCACCGGGACGGTCTGTGTGGTCAGGTGTGAGTGTGACTGTATGCACCGGGACGGTCTGTGGTCAGGTGTGAGTGTGACTGAGTACATCGGGACGTGGAGAAATCCGTGCTGGTGAGGGGTACTTAACCCATGTTGGGACCTATTCAATATGATTTGATTGCACGTCTAATTCCCATTGTTGAGGTCGCGTGTTCGATCCGCTCGTGGATGCCGTCAATTCATTTCTTCCATTCTATTTACTGTAATTACCAATTCAAATCAATTCTTCATCTCGATTCCCCATTTTCTCCATTGTTTCTTTGCGTAAAAGAGAACAACTCGGACATAAGCATAAGCCTTGAAATAATAAAAAACTCTATTAGCAGTTGGTTGACAGTTGGTCTAATGTTTTGCGTAATCGGTAAAGGACACGTGATCCCCTGCCCTACCTGGGCTCGCCCTTTTTTTTTTTTCTTTTTTTTTTTCAAAGAAAACTTTAGAGTCGTGTTTACTCGTGGGCTTAAAGGGGTCTGATGATTGACTCGTGGGCTGAAAGGGGTCTGATGATTGACTCGTGGGCTTAAAGGGGTCCGATGATTGATACGTGGGCTTAAAGGGGTCTGATGATTGACTCGTTGCACCCTCCAGCACTCGACAGTGCGCACCCGTGGGGCCCGAGCCTATTAGTTGATTAGTTGAAGAGAGGGCGCTAACGCGAAGACTGCAGTGGTTGGTTAGGCGCGGGTAAGGGAAAGTCGTGCTTACTGCCTTCTCTCCCTGATCCTCTCCTCTGCTTTTTCACCGCTTCCTCTTCCTCACTTCCTATTCTTGTTCACATCTTCTTCTTCTTCTTCACCTCCTCCTCTTACTTCTCCTCTCGATCCTTAGTCCTAGTTCTTGCCTTTCTGCTTTTCCTCTCTGCGATCAGTCCTGTTCTTGCCTTTCCTCTTCGTCCTTCTCATCTAATCCCTCTCGCTCATTGCTTTCTTCTTCCTCACACTATGGACGTGGCCTTGTTTCTTTTTTTTTTTTTTTTTTTTGGGCCTTGTCTGCTAGGATAAATCCGTGTTTTCCCTCCCTCGCGTCCTCTCTCTCACCTCTTTCCTCGCCGCCTCCTCTTCTCTATCCTCCTCGATTACATTGGGAAAGAAGTTGGTCGGGGAAAGGATGACCCCGCTAAGTGTGTGGTACTTAGATCGGGAAGTTTCGCATGCCTCTAAAGTGCATGATGTATATCTGACTCTGTGTGTGTGTGTGTGTGTGTGTGTGTGTGTGTGTGTGTG